GATTACTTTCTCAGTTAATAATTAGATCTATGAAAACTTTTGAAAAACATGACAAATTGAATTATTCTCAACTAATGTGTTTGATTTGATCAGTTAACTTTCAAAATCTATTGATATACAATTTAGTTAAATGTAAGGCAGCATACAAAATCCTCTAAAATAACTCATCACTGCAGCTCTAGAAAAGACACAGAGCTCTATCTTTTTTATTACTTTGTCAAAAGCTTTACAATCTGCCCAGTTTAGCGCCTGGTTCTGCTCACAGATCAAAGTTTTACAAGCAAAAGAGAAAACGTCCAAAGTGAAGCGAAGCAATTATCCTTTCTAATTATGCAAAAATGTAACAATTTTATCCGCATCATTCAGTGTGAATATCATTACTATGCAAATCAAATAGCCTGTTAAAATGTGATGTTCTAAATTACAAAATGTCCCCATTATTCAGCTGTTACCGAAACATTTCCTGCCTCTTGTCATGGTAAAAGTTGCTTTTCTTAAACAACAATGGGCCTTGATTATAGGTGACCTTCTCTTCTCAGTTTATTACAGCTTCTTAAAAGCGCTATACAAATACAGGCCATTTAACATTTACAGCCTCTCATGTTTTGCAGTAAGTGAGAGTGTAACAAGCTTTTATTCGTCTTCTTTCCTTCAGGGATCACGATGACGACGTATCTGTTGCTGAGGCCTGCAAAAAGCTCAATGAAGTCAGTGGACTTCGAGGAATGGGCAGGTAGAAGAAAGTACTGCATGCGAACTACAGTAATTCTGGATTTCCAGTGTAATTTTGTCAGAAATCCTTAAAACTTTCCTAATTTTGGAAACAATTAAACTTGTTAATTCGTGAGTCCAGTTGACATTGCAACAGTACAAATATGAGTCATTAAATATGTCATTTCCATGTGAATTATTCCAGAAGTTCCAGCTGATGAGTATAGAGACCTGGTTTGTCTCCACATGTTCAAAAAGCTGATAGCAGCCTACTTGTTAATTTTACGGGATCATTTGGTATTTGCCCTTTGAAAGACTGACATACAGAAAACCCTGGTGCCAATAAATCTGTGCACACAGAAAACATGAGGAGATCAGCCAGGTCACAGAGAGACTAATAAATAGCAGACATGTCTAATGAAAACCTGAGAATGTCAACCATAGCCAAGGGATTAAAGGATCCTCATCCCGTGGTGAAAAATCTACAATTTTGTGGTCAGCTGGCATCAGTAAATAAATGCAGTATCTCTAATTGTGAGTCACACATAATGAAGGCATTAGCTAAATGCAGAAAAACTGAAAACTCACCATTTACTTTGTGCCTCGCATTTTCCGCTCAGGTATTTTAAGCAAATAGCAAAGTCGGTGCGTGCGAATGGATCTGCATCATCGGGCTCTGAGGAGAATGTAGATGACTTCCTCGGATGCATCAATATTCCTTTGAATGTGAGTGAACAAAGTGCAACTGTCTCCGCAGAGAAATCACACACAAGCTTTTCTTCTTTCAGCTGCTCCCTTTAGGGGTCACCACAGCGAACCATCTGCCTCCGTCTCACCCCAATCCTTAGCATCTTCTTCCATCACACCAACCCTCTGCATGTCTTCCTTCACTGAATCCATGAATCTTCTTTATCCTCCTGCCCAGCAGTTCCATATTCAACATCCTCTGCACATGTCCAAACCATGTCAGCCTTGCCTCTCTACCGTTGTCTCCAAACTGCTGAACCTGAGCTGTC